GAATTTACCACGTGCAATATTAACCTGTGTGTTCTCCCAGTGCTCATGAGGGAGCCTGTAATTCCTGGCCATATTTTAATTCCTGATTTATCATTTTGGGAGCCTGGGAAGCAGGTGGAAGCTTGTGCTTACAAAGCAGCACAGCCTCACAAGGCAGAGGGATGGATGGATGGATGGATGGATGCTGCCTTACCTTAAAGATTAACACACACAAAACTGTGCTTTTTATTAACACCTTTTGTCAGGAGTTACTGCAGTTCTGTGAAATTTAAGGTCTTATGGGGATGGAAGTTTGGTTATGTTTTAAATCCAGCATCAGATTTTCATTGTTCACTATGATTTCATCTTTCTGAACGAGGTTGTTTTTCTTTCTTAATATTGGCCAAAATCTTTCTCTGTGTCTAAATTCCTGCTCAAGTTTTTGGGAACTGTGGAATACTAAGTGAAGTGTGGTGAGGAAAGTGGGATTTGACACACAAGTCTCTGTACCCACAGCAGTTTGCTGTGCTTCCTGTGCACGTTTGGTGAATTACAGCCATTATTTTGGAGAAGCTGTAATTAAAAGTAGCTGCCAAATTCTGTCAGTTCAGCGACCCAAAACATTCTGAAACGAGGTCAATCCCTGTCTCAACGGTCAAGAAAATTGCCAAGTTTAAGAAAGCAAAGTCACTGCCCTCGTCTGTCCCCCCCTTGCCATATGGGAGCATTCAAACTGTATCAGCATTCCTAAGGCAGCTCTGGCGAGCCAGGCTGAATTATTCCTTTGTCCGGGGAACAAGGCACCAACACAAACTGCAAATACCCAAAATCTCTTTGTTGTGTGTGTAAAACTTGAGTTTTTTGATGCAGATCTCTTGCATGACTTTAGGAGTGCCAGGAATCTGTTACCTCTGTGCTGGTTTTCTGTTTCCATGGGTGCAAGAATTGAATTTGTTCTTTTCTTTCTTATTTTTTCCTATGTAGAAAGCAGGCCTTGAGGATTTAACCTGTATGTTAACCATTCCTGTATAATTCCAATAAAGTTGGTTTAGAACACTTTCTCACTCCATGACTTGTTTGCATGTTTTGTTCACAGTTTGAAGTTTGAAGCTGAAAGAAGTGAATTTTTCAGATGGAAATACTGCTTTTTAAAAGCTCAGGATTTATACAAGGTGAACATCAGGGATCTGCTGCTGAGAGTGAAGTTTGGATCTCTCACCTGTTGCAGCTAATGGGATATAATTACTAAATGGGATTTAATTTAGGGTACACCTACCCAAAACAGTGTGTCAAGGTTTGGGTTATTTCCTCATTCTGCTTTCCCACTCCTTCCCCAGGGCAGGGACAGTCGGAAGTGGCTGGGACACAGCAGCTGCTCCCACACTCAGAGCTCACCCAGCCCTCCCCTGCTCATTCACAAACTGTAATTAATTAGCTTTGTGCTGCTCCCAGCAGGGAGCTGTGCTGTTTTCTATTTGTGTTGCCATAGGGCAGTGCAGGATAAATTTTAAACTAAAACTTCACTTACACCTTCCCTGTTTGCCAGGTAGATCAGCTTCCTGCTTCACGTGCTGAAGTTCTGCACCACCTGCAAGACCTGCAGAGTTACAAAAATTACATTCTCTGCCTCTGACCTGCCCTGGGGTGTGCCCAAACTCCAGACTTCAGTTTGCATTGTCTGGTGAAAACTAACAACCTGATTTTTTCCAGAGTGGTTGGTAATTTGTGCAGGATCAGCTTCTCTGTGAGCAGCTGAAGCACAGCCAGGCACCATCAGGCACAGGGGAAAAGGGCCAGCAATGCCATTTCTAAGTTGTAATGAATCCCATTTACCCCCCGTGTATCCACTCCACTCATGCCACTCAGAAAAATCACTGCTTTTCCTTCTTTTTTTAAATTAAAAATCCTAAAACCCAGTTGTTATTCATTAATGTAAAGTTCAATGAAAATAGTTTCCCAAAATCTTTAAAAACCAAGCTACACATGTGCATGCAATGTGTGACAACTTTCCCCACACCACATTGCTCAGATCCTGATCCCATGGCACGAATAAATCATTCTCAGTCGTTACCATTTACTGAGTTTCCTGCAGAAATATTCTGTGATTTTTCCATATTCTGGGATCTTGGTAGAATGTTTTAGATTGAAGGGTTCGTTATGACAGTTTTGAAGTTTATTATTAAAAATTTTAGACTGCATTGGCAAACTTGCAGAAATTAAAAAGAATTTTAAAAGTTAAGGTGATGAAGTTGAAATTGCTGGATTACTACAGGTAAGCACAATAGTGAGTACTGAGTATGCAAAATACATATATTTAGTGGAAAACACACATATTTAGTAGAAAATATAAGTGTTGTATTCATGAGGTATCAGACTTGACCCTGTATATCTTGTAACACGAATATACAGTAATTCATTATGTATATTATTTTATATATATTTATTAATATTTATACACATACAGAATATAGTAAGTAATATATAATTCTTATGCTGTGATTCCTTCTCTTAAAGGTTAGTGTATTGTAGATATCATCAGGAACTTATCCATTTCATCATTTTAATTTGCTCACTATTTCAAAATCCGTAATAAAAGGAAACCAGCACATCATTAATCCACTGTCAGCAGCACTATAATTCCCACATGGCCTCAGTTCTTTCCGGAACCCTTTCCCAGCAGGCAGAGAAGGTTATTTTTGTTTACACGGAGCGAAGTGGATCTCACACACATTTCCCAGCCAGGAGCTGCCCGAGGCCCGCCCGCCCCGCTCTGAGGGGCCGCGATGGCGCCCGGGCCTGCAGCGCCGCCGCGCGCGTCGTTGCTGCGGCAACCAGCGGCCACTCAGCGGCCGAGGCAGGCCCGTCCTGCCTTCCTATTGGATGGAAGAGCTGTCAGTCAGTACTAAACCCCGCCCCTCTTCTACTTAAGGCGCGCAGGATGCAGTGAGGTTGTGTGTGAGGGGCTTCTCTGACGGGGGGGCGGTGTTGGAGTGAAATTCCTTTGCGCTGGGAACTAAAGGGCCGCAGCCGCTTTGCTTAGGAGAAAAACCACAACACACAACACGATTTCTCACATAAAACCTTTCAAACTAGTCAATATCTTTGTCATGTTTATGTGCATGCAAAGTGCACAGCCTGTGCTGAAAGAAGGGACTTCTTGGTTTACATGCGGCCATAGTTCGTATAATATCATTCAGTATGGTAGAATTTGTTTTCTCCATATACGAATGATATTATGAGAGTTATTTTTTTATTCTTTTTCAATATATATTCAGCTCTAAATTCTGACATCCTTGCCTTGCTGTTTGTCCTGACTGCGATCTGTGCTCAGCTTCTGAACTAACTTTTCTTCTGTCTCCTTCTGAATTTATTTTTGTAAATAAGGGAATTTCTTTTTGGTGAGATCTAATTGAGAGAATACATTGATTTCCTTGGATATTGATGTATTTACCACCTGAATCCCAGACTGGTTTGGGTTGGAAGGGATGGTAAAGCTCATCTCATTCCACCCCCACCATGGGCAGGGACACATTCCATAGATCACATTGCTGGGTATGAAATGGAAGTTGATTTGCTTTTAATCACCCCACACAAATTACCTGACTTGATTTCTTCCTCTCTGTTACTTTTGTGTCTTGTTGAAACAGCTGCACAAAAATTCCAGCTGCAGCTGGCACTAATTGCAAGCTTGGTGAACTTTAAAACTGGTTGGAATTTGATCCACCCTGGTTCCTGCCCCCAAGGGCTGCGGGCAGTGACTCTGCTGGAGTCCCAGCCACACCTTCTGTGCAGAAATTGCTCATGTAACATGATTTAAAAAATCAGCTAATTTTGAACAGCTTTTAAATATTAAATGAGTTTTATATCAATTTGGTGGGAGTAAAAATAGCTTTCATTTTACCTCCATAAAAACCTGAAGTTTTTCATGAAATGCAGGAGAAAATGAGGGAATAGAGATAATTTTACAGACTTCATTGAACTTGTATGGCCAGAATTACTCCAAACCTAATTTTCAAGGCACAACATGATTTTCCACTGGCAGTGGGCACCGTTAGATTGGATTTTAGGAAGAAATTCTTCCCTGTGAGGATGGGGAGGTCCTGGCACAGGTTGCCCTGGAAGCTGTGGCTGCTCCATCCCTGGATGTGTCCAAAGCCAGGTTGGACAGGGCTTGAAGCAACCTGGGATGGTGGAAGGTGCCCCTGCCCATGGCATTGATGATAATTTGTGTCTTGCTCCTGTCATTAAACAGTGTATTTTTAGAATCTTTTGTCTTGTACTTAGACAAGATTCAGCTTCTGCTTGGTTGGGTTTTTTTAAATTCGGAGAAAAAGGAAATTTAGAAAAGTCACCAACAGAAAACTCTTCAGACTGTCTGTGGGCTGGATCCCGTGCTGAGGGGAGGGCTCAGTGCCTGAGCTTGGCTTCAGCTTGAAGAGGACACCTAAAACCACCATGGGAAGAGCCAGAGGTAATTTTTTAACCCCTAAAGAGCAGGTTTGGTCAAGGAGCATCACGATTGTGCAGAGCTGTCCCTTGGCTCCTGCCTTCAGGTTGGCACATTGTCCTGTTTGCCAGTCCCAGACACAGGGTATTTCATCAAAATCCGGGGGAAAGGAAGTTGCCAACTTCCTCCCCATGAGCGGCACATCACCAGACTCTAAATTTAGCTGCCTGTTTCCAAAGGGGAAGTGGTGCAAGTCCACGAGTCAGCTGAGCAGCACCGAGCTCCTGCCAGTGGAAGTGTTGGTGGAATTCGGTTCCGATTTCAGCCCCGACTCTCTGCCCCTTCCCCGTGCCCCGTTCTGGCTGTCAGCAGCTCCTCAGCATCACACCGTGGTCAGGAACATGTCAATTCATTTTCAAACATCCTCTTTTAGCTGCAGCCCTCTCTTTGTGTTCAAAAACCGCGCCCTCTCCCAGCGGGATCACTTCTGTTTTATGAGTTCAAAATGCTGGGGAGTTGCATCATGAGCACGTCAGGCTTCTTCTGCACAGGCAGCAGTGAGGAAAGGCTGGGGAACCGTCTGCCCCCTCCCAGCAGCTCTGCAGGACAGCTCTGGGCTTGGGGAAATCCATCCTGGACCTGGCTGGGCTTGGTGAGTTGGGTTTTTTGTGCCTTTTTCTTTTCCTTATGCTTTGTTCCAGAACACAGGAACCACTTATTTCATTTGGAGGAGACCAGTTTTTCCAAGATTACCAAGTTTTAGTGCTCTTCATGAGCACTTTCAGAGCAATAAACCAAAATTTATCAGCAGGCACCCTGAGGTCCTACAGACCAGGGTAAGGACCTGGTTACCCATGTCCTACAAGGCACAGAGCATTCCAAATTCCATGGATCTCTAGCAAGATTTAGACTGCCAATTCTTCTTTCTTTGGAAAATGATTTATCAAGTTCCCATAAGTGCTTAAGAAAGTGCTGCCCTGCTTTATGCATATGTAAATGACTCTGTAGATAACCAGGTCTGCTGCCTTTCCTGCCTGCTTTGGCCTGAAATCTCAGTGTTCCTTTCAGCTTCTGTATCACAAAAATAAAGAACCCTACAAAAATAAAAAACCAAACAGTTGTGCTGTGCCAGTGTGTAAATTTTGGGGGAAAGGTGAAAATTTCCATCTCTCAAATAACTGAAGTTTTAGAATATCTCCTGGAAGGAGCATTGGGATTGAAAAGTGACCCAGTGTAGTGAGGAGTTTCAAATATACCAGGGTGCAGGGGCATGGTGAAGCCACAAGTACACTTTGGGTCAGTGGATACTTCAATTATGCAGAGATTTAAAGGATATTTAAAATAACTGAATGATTTTCTTATGTTCATGTTTCCCATTCCTTTATAAGAGCAGTGGTTCAGGTCAGACTCTTAATGTGAAGATTCCCATTGATTTTAACAGTAGGTGAATTGGAAAGGGATGATAAGGAACCATTTAAGTATAGTAAATTATTTTGAGACACTTATCTTTTCACTATTATCACTATTGAGGAAGGCAAATTAACTTTTTATATCTTTTAAGTTCATCATTAAGAGGGACTAAACACATTTGATCTGCATTTTGAATACAGTTTTGTTCTATTTGCAGGACTCTCAGTTTCTTTTGAAGCTCCTTGGCACCTCACAGAAGTGCTCAAGTCAGAAATGCCTCTAAATATGAATATAGTCTTTATTTCCTTTCTATGTCACCTCTTCAGCTCTTGGAAATGGTTGTCTTGTAATGGAAAACATTGATTAATTACTGATGGTATTGATACAGACAAGTAAAATGATTCTGCTGATTTTTACAGCTTATGAAGTGCAATCTGTCTGAAGTAGCCACGATGAGGAAGAGACCTGGCAGCAGGAGGGATGTTACAGATGAAGCAGCTGATTAAAGCCCTTCCTGTACCTTCAGAATGATTTTTGTGGACATGGTAAAGAGGAAAAGCATGAAGTTTAATGTCTGCTAAAAATAAATGCTTGAGAGGGAAGGAAAAATCACTGTCTTTGTGAGAAGTGCACTGTTCACTAGTAATAATAAGAAGAATAATAAGAATAATAATATAATTATTATATAATAGTTGTTGAATAATAGTTGTTGCTGTTGTGTTGTGCCTGTCTTTCCATTCCAGGGCTCCATGGAACTCTGGTGATCCCTGCTGCTCACACTTGTCACCATGCTGGCAGAAGGCATCCTAACGAGGCTCATCTACAGAGAAAGCTGTCATCAAGATAAGCCTCGCAAATCCCCTGCATCCCAAAAGGCCAAAGAGGGAATCTGGAGACAGAAACTTGTAGACGTCCCAAGAATTAAAGGCTTTGCTGATGGATGTGAGAAGCGGGAGGAGCTCTCTGCCAGAAGCAGCGAAGTGGAAGCCGGGAGCAGCCCTCGATGGGGATCCATAGGGAAGGAGCCTGCAGAGGATCAGGGAATGCTGGTTAAAGGCACTGCATCCCCAGCTGTACACATCCCCAGGAGAGGAGGGAGCTTGGACGAGGTGGATTTGTACAGATCCTGGCCATGCAACAGCATTTACCAGAACTACCCTGACCTGCAGATCGGGGGGGACCGCGTGGGGGGCCCCACGTGTGACTCGGGCTGTGTCCTGGACCACGGGTGTGATGAGCTCCCTGATGGGCCTGTGCTGCTCTCCATAGACATTCCCCTGGGTCAGTCCCCACTGTGTGAGCATCCCAGAAAGCCCAGTGGGATGTCCTTGCCTGGAGATGAAGCTGGAGAAAGGAGCCTCCTGCTCAGCGAGGAGCCCCTGTCCAACTCCACGCTCAACAAGTACATGGAAGCCAAAGTGGCAGAGTTCTACAAACAGTTTTTTGAAGAAAGCCTGGCCAGGTGTGGTTCCATAACAAACCTGCTGACCTGCAGCTGGATAAGGAACAGCCTGGACCAGATAAGTGTTCAGATCTCCCAGGAGCAGAACATGGAAACCTCCAGAGCCAGAGGAGCCCTCCTGCACTCGTTGGCTTTGTTCAGCTCCCGCAACGCTCCCAACAGGAACAGCTCCGAGTTCAGCACCCCAAACCTCCAAATCTCCAACACAGGGGCTGCAAAATGGAGCTGCAGGATGGAATTCACATCCTGACTGAGCTGCTCAGCTCAGGAGAGGGATGGGATTCAGGTGTGAGTGATTCACTCCAAGGATTAGGTTGGGAAATGGAAACATTTGCACACTACACTTGTTCTAGTTAATATTTTAAGTCTTAAACCCCTTTGGTAGGAGGACAAGTAAAGGTCATTGTTTTCTGGTTTTTAATGTGGAATTTGAAATTAATTTCTCTCCAAAAAACTGGTTAATCGTGTTTTTATAATATATACAGAATCATAGAACTGTTGAAGTTGGAAATGACCACTGAGATCAAGTCCAACCATTAACACAGTACCACTAAATCATGTCCTCAAGTGCCACATACACACATAAAAGCATTAATTTTCTGCAAAATCAGCAAGCAAAGATGACTGCAGCATTCCTGAAAAAATAGTGCAAGATTCCTGCATCTTCATTTGGAAATTTAAATGCAGATTTTCATATGGAAATGCTGCTGTTTAGCACTGAAACACATTTTCTCCCTTTGCTCTGGCTTCTCAGCAAATATTTCAGCTGGAAATTATTCATTATGTCACCACTGTAAAATGATAGATGAATTGGACTGTTACCTGCTCTGCAGAAGTTTTTTTTTTTCTAATAAAGATTTTTGTTGGTGCTTCTGCTTGTGGTTGAGGTTTTTTTGTTTGCTTGTTTTAATCTTTATTTCTTGGGCATTTCTTAAAATCATCTGTGAACTCAAAGAAAATATCAGCAGGATTGAGAAAAAACTGCTCCTGAGGGAAAAGTGATCTGAGTGGGCAATGAAAGGACTTCTCTCTCTTTATTAAAATGACTGGGAAAGATAATTCCTGATAAGGAAACAAATTAATAAAATCAGGTCCACACATCCAAGACGTGACTGGTCATTGCCTGATCCAAAATTCCCACTGACCTTGGTGCAAGGAGTGTGAGCAGTACTGAATCTCATCCTTGCTTTCTAGGAGCATGGCAGGAAAAGGATGATTTGCTTCCCTTGCATTGCCCTAATTCCATGTGTGTCTCATTAATCTCCTCAGCATTCAAAATCAGGCCAGGAGTCCTTTGGAAGTGGCCAAATGACTTCATTAAATTTCAGAGGGGTGCAGGGTGGGCAGAGCTCTCCAGATTTCCTTGGTGGAGGTGCAGAGAACAGTTTAACTGAGGCTGAGATGGGAAATGTTCCAGAGGGCAGCAGCAGCCAAAGGCTTTGCAATTACCCGTGGCAAGAAGTGCTCCGTGCCATTTGTGCTGCCGTGCCCCAGCCCTTGCTTCCCCCTGGGATCTATTTATAGTGCAAGCCCAAGTCTGGAAAGGAGTTAATTGCACGAGGTTCTTCCTCAGGAAATGAGGAAGTCGGAGGTTAAGCCTGAGCTCCAGGCTGGGGTGGTTTTCTGTCCTTGCCAGCGCTGAGGAACGCGTTGGAGGAGCCCTCTCTGCTCTGCTGCTCTCCCCAGCGCAGGGATCAAAACCGATGGATCAGCAGCAGCTGCTGCTCTGGGACAGTCCCTGATGGATCTGCTGCTCCATCCCCGGGACAGAAATGGAGTGGCACAGGAGAAAACAACACATAAATAATGAGAGTTCACCAAAACCTGAGGTCACTGGGAAGTTGTGTTCATCCCATCCCTTCTTAGGACTGTTTCAGAGCTTTTTAAAATTAATTTTATTAAATATGTGGGTAATTTTAGCTGGAAGGAAAATAAAACCACGTAACAACAGTGTTTTGAGGAAAACAAGTAATTTAGACCACCCCAATGACCTGTGTTTTTACAGCACAAATTGAGGTGCAGGTAAATGCACATTGTTAATGTAAAGCACATTGTATTTTGTTATTCATTTTATGTAGTTTTGCACATGGAAAAATATTGTCCATGTGCTTTCCCCCTCAGCATTTGTTAAACTGGTTTAATCCACAATTTAGGTAACTTCTCAATATTAATTTCTCTCTGTAGAAAGAAAGATGTTGCTGCAGAATACATTTTAGTGGCAAAATCTGTTAATTTCTAAAAAGATGAGGCAAATACATTCATTACTAACTTAAATACTATTTTAATTCAATTTTATTTTAATTGACATGTTGCAATCCATGACCTGCTTTGGATTTATTTATATTTGGAAGATGCTAAGTCCCATTATGACTTTGAGTAAAACTCCATCAGCTGCACTGGAGCTGTGCCCATTTTCACTAGGAGGAAAAATGCCTCAGTGAACTCCAATTCCATGGGGAAAATCCCTGGAAAGGTGCTTTTCCAGCCTGCTGAAGGGCAGCAGCTGGATTCCATTACCAAGGAAAGCAGTGCCATATTTTACAGGGCAGACATCCATGGCCAGATTCTGCCTGGAGCTGGTTTTTATCCCCATGCCAGAAAATCTGATGTTGGAGGAGAAATACTGGCAGGGAATTTTTACCTTCATATCCAGCTTGGATTCTCTGTTCCCACAGAGGAATATTCACCAGGTCCTGGGACCCAGCCCCTGTAGAAAGCTGGACTCTTTATTTACATTTCCCCAATTAATCCTGCAGTCAGGATGTTCCCCAGCCTGCCTCAGTTGTGGGAATTAAACCCCTCTAGAAAGTGACTTCATCAGCCTGGAGGATAATTAGGATTTTTACACATTACAGATTTTTCTGAGATTTATTAAATAGTCAAATGGTGATATCTAGTGGTGGTTTCCTTTAGTACCTTCCAGGTCAAGATTTCCAGTGCTTTTACAACCATTTTGCAATGAAATCTCAAAGTCTGTCTTTCTCTGGAGGGAGGATTATTTCCTATAAAAACAATGCCCAGGTGTGCAGAACAACAACTTCCATCAATTAATGTTCTATTCCAGGAAAAATCAAGAAGGATTTAAAACCTGCAAGGCCAAACCCTTCACTTTGGGACTAAAAATGCTGACTGTCAGAAAAATCTCAAACACCAAATATTTGTATTTTTCATTCATCTCTCTTTTATTCAGGAAAAATCCATTTGCTTGTTAAACAAATGAAACTAAATCTGAGTGGCTTTTCTTTTCACTACTTTTAGTGGGCTGAAATCTGCTTTTTAGCAGTGTTCTTTCTTGCTCTCCACTAGTTTATACATAGCATGGCAAAACTGATTTTTTTCCCTCTCTGTTTTTTTCCTGTTTTAAATACAGATTTCAAAAATCCAGATATTTGATTGTAATTACCCTAATTTTATTTTCTTTACCAGAATATCCTCACCACTTAATCCTTGCCTGCTTTTCCTTTGAGTTCATTTATTTGTGATAATCCCATAAATCTGTTGGGAATATAAATCACTTGTGAGGGTCAGTGGTGGTTTGGTAAATGAGTGCCCAGGTGCTAATGAACCTTCCACTCCCACATCCACCATCACTGGGGGGAAATAAACGGGTTTAGTGTGGAGCTGTGAATCCCAGGAGGTTGAAGACTTTTCCTTTTCCGTCCTGTTCCATGTAAGGGTTGTAGATATTCCCCTTCACTTGTGAGCTGTGCTCTTGGGAAGGTAAAAAATCTGGAGGAATATTTGATGTACTGGAGCAAAGTGGGAGGAGATTTTTGTGTGGAGCTGAGTTATTGAAACTTGTTGGGAGTTCTGTGTGACCTGTGTCCATCAAGGCTTTGTTTTCCTCAGGATGTTTGTTTGGGGCTCTCTTTGGAGCAGGAAATTTGTTGATATTTTTACAGCCCTTTCCTAAATGTGGCTCTGGTTGGGTAAAGCTGAAATATGGGCTCTGGGATCTGTGGAACTGGATGATTTTTGAGGTCCCAAAACCAGTCTGCCATCCCATTTCCTCCCTTTCTCCTCACACTGGTACAGGAAGGGTTTTCCTGCCTCTCACTCCTGTGCTGGGGCACAGAGGCTTTGCTTTCCTGGGCTCTGGTTTGCAATTTTGGGATCCTTCATCCTCCTCAAAAAAGTTTCTAATTTTGTGCAATAATATAATTTTCTAATCTGCTGTGTTGCTGCTTCTTGTTTTCATTCCCCATCTGTAGTAATTACACACTTCTGCTTTCCATTGCCAAATTTCCGAGACCCATGGACCATTTATTCTCTTTTGTTGTAGCTCAACCATTAAAAGTTGATATTTCAATAATTAATTACTAATCTGAGAGGTAAAAGAAGTTAACAAAGATGAGTGAGAGAACACTCAGACCTGCTGTCACTTTTTTTTTTATTGTTAAGCTGTGTTGGTTCTTTTTTTCAAATGAGTGAGATTTATGAGTGTAATGGAGTAGGGAACAGAACTGCAAATGAATTTCTTAAAAATCTTGCCTTGAAGTTTTAAACTACCAAATTTTGTTCCTCTTTCTTGGTAATTGAATTATAAAAAACCCTTTCCTAAAATAGAAAGCTAAACATTCATGTTGCCCACATTAAATTTATACAAATCAGAGTGTGAAATGCTGTGTGTGGATATTGGTGCTGGTGTTTGCACAGCTCTGCTCCAGCTCAGCCATCAAACAGCAAGGACAGGTCACTGATCACAGGCAAATGGCTTGGGGACAGTTTTATTGAATATTTTTATATAACAAATACATCCTTGGAAATAACCACCTGCTTATGTTTATTCCACTAAGAGAAACAGGGAACGCTAAGATTTCTCCTGACAATGTGTGGGACCAGGGTGTGGTGTCCTGGGGGCAGCCAATAAAGGAACTGATCTCCACCCTGAGGTGAAATCCTTTAATTAAACATCCCAGATCTCATTATTAAGGAGGTAGAATGTGCTCACAGCTCTGCTGAGATGTATTCTTTTAACTTGTTCCTTATCAATATTCCAGCTGCTGGATGTAACTCTGTTTGAATCCTCCTCAAACCCAGATTTTTGACTGGGATCTCTGATGTTCTGTTGAACCTCAGCCTGCCTGGGTGCCCTCAGGGCTCCCCACTGTCTGCAGCCCCAGGTCACTTCTCAGTGTCCCCATGTCCCCATGGCTTGTGATGTGCTGACGGGCCCCACGTGGTGGCTCGGGGGTTTCCAGGGTTTCCTCTTCCTGCTGCCCCCAAAGCTGTGGGTGGGATCCTTCCCAGAAGGGGAAGTGGGATGGGACACTTGGAGGTTTATAGGGTAAGCTTAAAAAAAAAAAAAAAAATGTTTACTTCTAAAAAGGAAAAAAAAAAAGGTGGTAATACTTAAACATCTCCTGGGTG